TATTCGTTACTACGTTATTGTTTGGGTATTTTAATGTTGTGCTACGATTATAATAACTTGTTTCAATCGTAACTTTAGACATTACCGCTTTGTTGACATTAGTGACGTCAGCCATTATGGCTGCCTTTGTCCTAACAGTTTAGAAAAATTGATAGGCTATATTAATTTACTAGTTAAGTTGCTGCTGCAATATGGTGAGACAAGTGATACAGGCTTCAATCATCATTCTGTGGGACTTGTATGGTTGTATGGAACTGCTCTGTGATCAGCGGTGCCCTCCAGAATAACAGCATTCTTCTGCAAGCAAGACTCCTTCGTTGTTGTGTTGCAGAAAGCCTTTGACTGTCATATTTTTTCATTGGAACTGTGAGTTATCTCCAATGCACATTTCCCTAGACAATCCCCTAATTTAGTTAATTTATGCATTGTATTATTCTGTGTTTTGTTTCTTGTAATTATTTTGAGAAGTATTAAAACCAGCTTTAAATTGATATTTTGGTGTGTAAGTATTTTATTTCCAGTACTATTGTCTAGTCTACCCCATTCCAGCAGTGAAAGAACCCCCGTCCACTGTGAGTTCTGTGAGTGTCTTTCTCAAGATGTCATTAGTGGGATTGTGATTCCTGGAAAGTTAGTGAGTATAGGTGAGGGTTGATCACAGGTCGTAACACTCAGGCAAGGTTTTGGATGAACATGGGGCTGATGTATAGGGAGTTTCAGTCATCTCATGTTGATAGAGGACGTATGTGTTCCCACTTAGTACCAATGTGTTACCGTAATCAAGTACTAGCAATTTCTTATGAGTCAGTTATTTCAAATCATAGCTATGGATTTGATTGGTCCGATCTGTCCAGTGACTGAGAAGGTCATAGGTACATTTTAACTGTTGCAGACTATGCATCACAGTACAATGAATCTGTAGCATTAAAGAAAATTACTTCTGAGGTGGTTGCTGACGCATTAGTCAGTATATATAGCAGAGTTGGTGTAGCCAACAAAAGTTATAACTGATTTAGGAACACAGTTTGTATCACCCATCATGTAATGGCTTGGATTAGCGGTTTAATGCTACTTTGAAAAGTATGTTGAAACGCATGTACCAGGAACGGCCTAAGCATTGGGATAGGTATCTCGATGCAGTACTGTTTGCCTATAGAGAAGCTCTTCGGGAGAGTTGCTGTGTTATGAAAAAAGGGTCTAGTATTGGGTATTTTGAGGTAGAAGGGGAAGTAAGACAGAGCGATCCCCTGTCCCCACTGTTCTTTGTCTGAAATCTTGCTGGTGGCTATTAGATCAAACAATGAAAAAAGGCGATCTAGCTCGGTAAATGGCAATACAGACAGGAAATATTATTCAGGTTTAAATGATCCACATCTCCCATTAAAATAGTAGGAATATACTTCTCTCATAACCAAAAGAGAACAATAAATATTAACAAAGCTATGGACAATTTGAAAACTGCAATATAATCATGAAAAAATAAGAAATTGTCACTAAAACAATGAAGGGGGGATTGGGATGACAGACCTTCATATCATGAAGAAAAAACAGAGACTACTATGGGTTAAAAGCTGTGAATCCAGACAAGTTTCATCAATATAAGTTATTTATTGAAAGAACTGCTTGAGAGCAAAGGGGAAAACGTCATCTTCAAATGTAGTTATAAAACAAAAGCAAATCAACTGTACTGTACTGACTTCTTGTGGGAATCCTTTGAAACTTTGGAGAGTAAAACAAAAATGTATTAAAAGGGAATCAAGCTGCAAAAGATATAGAGTTCCAGATTTATTTGACGAAGAATGCATTGTAGCATAGGGAACAATAGCACATGGGGAATTTTCTTTAATGCAAAAAGTGAAATAGATTGGTCTCTTAGATGCCATTCCAGAAAATGTTAAGCATAGACACCAAGCCATTGATGAGATATTATTATCAATATAAGGAATTCAAACTGCTGCAAGTACAATGATTAGTGCTTTGCATTCGTCCAAGTTGCTGAACTGATCTAGAAAACTTAATCCTGCTTTCTCCAAGCTTATTCTGTTCCATACATTCAATGTATTTATCTGTTTTAACAATGTTTTCTACTTGTACACAAACGTCTACAAATATTAGTAGTAAATTTTGGTCTGACGAGTCTACTTCGTGTGCTCTCTCATAATAGAACGAGGCACTATCCAAATATCCAGTTTTAGAATTAACCCATCCTATCAAGAACTTCTAAATCTTGTTTAACATAAACTAATCTTGTTTGCATATTTCCTTTCAAAATCGTAGCAGATTCCCTTCCACCCACCTATATGGAGCAGATCTAATTGCTGACTTGTACTGTTCAACAGAGTTATGTTTCTCCCCCTGCATATTTAGAAATTTTTCAAAATTGCAATGAACGCTTGCTTTATCATCGTCATCCTCGCATTTTATTAACTCTGCATATCAACTGGGCCTTGTTTTCCGCATTTAATGTGATTTTGCTGTTATGTTACTAGGATCTGTCATAGAATATTCATGAAAATAATTGAAACATTTTAATAAAACTGCGAAGTCTTTTTACCATGCTTCGTTTTGAAAAACCTTTTAATCACTAATCACATTTGATACTTCCTCAAGTATTTCAGTTGCATCATCAAATTTCCCCCAA